TTCTACTTTCACCTCCTGAACAGAGCCCAAGTGCTGGGTGACATAAGAAACCATCTCCATTGAGCACCATTCCATAGGAAGCCCATGAAGTTGAACCCAAAATGCACAGGAGAAGAACTTATAACAATGAGGGGGTTTGTTTGGTACCCAGGGTTGGAGTATCAATAAATTGCTTCCAAATGACCATGGGCTATTTTCTGAGACTCCGTTTTTATCCTGTTCATTAGTAAATATGAAAGAAAGAATACCCGATTCATATTGAGTGGGTGTTACTGACTCCACCTTCCACGCTTTGTTCATAGTGTTGAGGAATGCCTGGTAGTTGATGTTGGAACTTGTATAGAGTTTTTCAAAAACCGAGTGGTTGCATTCAACCATTTTTTCCTGGGATACCATCAAATCTCTATTAGGGGTGTCTATTTTATGCCAAAGGTTACCCAAACGTCTACACAGCACGGCCAGCCGCGCCTCAGCACTAACATTTTCCGCCATCTCTTGCAGGACTCAGCAAGATTAAAAAGAGGCAATCACTTACGAGGACTGCCACAAACAAGGGGTTCGGAGACCCTGAAAACCCAGAAACCACGACAAAGGAAGGGGTAAAAACCAAGGGAAGTAGGGGTAGTGGCCACGAAAGTTAAGGTAAGGTGGAAACCAATGGAACGGTAGCGAAGGATTTAGGGTTCAAGATACGTTAGGACAAGGATGTAGGGCACCATTTTTAGGCAAAGAAATGACAAAATCTGGTACTAAATGCTGTAAATGAGGAAAATGACAATGGTATAATGGTTTATGGAGGGGATCCCAATGACATTTTAGAGCCGAGAAAGGGCAACATACGCAAGAGGAATCTGTGGGACATGGTTAAAACAAAGATTCTATCGGGAGAAGAGCTACAGTTGAGTATTCGAGAAACTGGGATGAAGTTTGAAAACTAGGGTTTGCTACCATAAAGGTAGAGAAAAGCTCTACCAACGAGAGAGACTAGCTCACTCAGATTTCTAAATACATTCAATTGCACCACCTTTTTCGGTGAAGGTTTGTTAGATGATTTTTCAGCCAAAACGATGTCCTCTTTATTTCGCTTAAGCCACGTAGGCATGATGTCAACACTGATTGCTTTCTGGCATTCATATTGATAGATTTTAAACGGTTCTCATTGATATAACTTTGATGGAGAGTAAATGTGTTGTACAGGTACAAGTTTGAGATTTTTAGTGTCATAGAAAAAAGTTTAGGGTAAATGTGTCACAGTGGGCATAGTTGAGGGTTTTAAGTGGGTTTTATCCTATAAGAAAATACCTCGGCGAGGACACTGGGGTAACAAGTCAAATTTTAGATCGAACCCCGACATCATCCAACTTTCTAACATGCTAAAATTAAAGTATTAGAAATCCTAAAGCATGCATGAACGCCCTAATCAATCCCTTAATCCATAAGGTGCACACGACGGAAGGTGGCTAGGAGGAGTGCAAATTGGTCCTATCAAGGGTTGAACACCCTTTGATTAGATCTGGAAAACCCGTCTGGGCAGGGGTATGGAGCCATTATTAGGGCCGAATCCCGCCCCTCTGAGCTGAGGTTTAAATCTCTTATGGTTGCTACAACAAATCCAGTTTAGCACGATCAATGTCAACATGCGAAAAAGCAACCAATCGTGTACTCTACATGCTGGACAGTAACAATGCAAATCAAACAGCAACTTTCAAGAGGCCGAAACGATTAATTCTTATCGTACGTTAACCCATATGTGTTTTGTACATGAGTGATCCGAAGAATGCAAGCAAAAGCTAGTAAACTTACGAGATAAAAGATTCAGTGCCGACTAGAAGTCGGGGTCAGGATTCTACCTTGATCCGAGCAAGATGAGCAGTGGCAGTGCGCGAGACTTGTCGAGGGCTGTGTGGATCTTCAGCCACCTTTTTGGATGAAGTATGTTGGTCACAGGTTCAATGAAACAGCCATTGATCCGGTAGGCACGAAAGGGTCGCGGTTGGCGCAGACGTCCTTCGATTCCAAGACTAACATGTCACGAAGAATCTCCAGTCCAGATAGGTGGTGCTCTTTGTCCTCCCTTGAAGGTTCTTGCCAAAAGAAATGATGCCGCAATTCTTGCGGTATTGTACCAGAATTCCAAAAATGTGAAGGCCATTTTGCAGAAACTCTCTAGTTCTTATCTCCAATTCTTCCCTCTCTCTCATTCTTTCACCAAAATGCATTGATCTCTTGCCTTGCTAGAAGTGATTCAAGTATGAGAGGGTTGCTTGCCATCTCAGCAAAAGGATAGAGAGAAACACCGCCCAAAATGGATGAGGCCGTACGAGAGATATAGATTGAGGGCGCAAATGATAGCCATTCTCTTCCTAGGTCTAATTTATGCCTAATTTTCTATTTCTATTCCTTTGATGAGTTTATGAGCAGAAAGTAATATTTGATAATGACACAAAATTTCTATTCTTGGAATAGAAATTCATTTGATAGGCCTTCTTAAATTTCTATTCCCGGCAGGCGGCCGGTGGGTGATAAGCGGCAAGGGCAAGTGATAAGAAGAGTTCTTATTTCTGTTTCTGTTTTCGAAATAGAAAAGTAAAAAAAATCTACTTTTCATTTCTGTTCCAAACTTATTTATGGACTAAAAATTTATCCCGAAAATTAAAGAAAAATGAATTTGCGTTACCAAACGGATTTCTGTTCCAAACATGTTCCCAAGAACAGAAAAATAGAAAAATAGAGAAATATAATAGTTATCATTCGTACCTGAGAATGCAAGATTATGCAAATATGAATATTTCAGCTAAGGGGTCAAATTTCTAGGGAAAATTATTAGCAAAGTCTTAAACCTATTACATTTGTGTCAGTTCAGTTCTAAACCTTTCAATTTTGCTAAAATTTAATCCTATACCTTTTGATGGTTTGCCAATGTAGTCATTTCGGTCAATTTTTGCTGGAAATTGCTGACGTGGATGCCAACTGTGCCACATAGGATGCCCGGCGCTGACATGGATAATTTTTTAATTTTTTAAATAATTTTTTTCGTTTTCTTTTTCTTTCTTTTCCTTTCCAAGTCCAGCTGCAACTCTTGCCAGCTGCAGGCGAGGGTTACAACCCTCTAGGTGAGGGTGACCCTTGCCCGCAACTGACGAGGGCTTCGCAGCCCTCATTTGTGCCCAACGCTTAAAAGGAACAAAAAAGAAAAGAAAAATTAAAAATTCAGAAACTTTTAATAAAAAATTATAAAAATTGTGCACGTCAGTATCGATCGTGCTCCCTAGGATAGCCGACGTCCACGTCAGCAATTATAGTCAAAATTGATCGGAATAACTACATTGACAAATAGTTAAAAGGACTAAATTTGTTAAATTAAAAGATTTATGACTAAATTGGCACAAGTACAATAAGTTTATAGCTTTTTTGGTAATTTCACCTCAATTTCTACAATAATGACGAATTTTAAACCCTGATTTTCTAAAGCACGACAGACAATCTTTTAGACAAAAAAAATTTAGGTGTCGACAGTGTCAAAAATTCCTTTTCTCGAAAGCTCAATGGAAAGTCATTTTAAGAGAAAATGAAGATTCAAATGGACAAGACCGATGCATTTGATGGGGAATGAATGACAAAAGTATGAAAGACCAACACTTAACGACCTTGACTAGTAATAGAGAACATTTGCTAAAAGTTACAAGATGGATGTTGCGAAATCGAACTAAAAAGAAAATTGGCAAAATTCTATTAGATGTTTTAACAAGTGAATCATATTTGAGAACGCAAGAAGAATTTGTCACTTAGCATTGTAAATCTATTTTCTAAATCAATTTGTGTTATGCATAGTACTTTTTATCAAAAAAGCATAATGCCTTGTATTATTAGTAGTTCGCTTGTACCAATATCTTATGTTTGAAAAATGTTTTGTATTTCAATTTCAGCTTTATTTCATATTAGTAAGAGTGGAGGCCTTGTAGACAAGGGAGATGTGATAACCGGTGTTTTATAACACGCATGTAACTTTAGAATAGTCTAGGGGGCTAATGCGTACAATTCAGTGAGTCATATCGATTGTGAAATGATAAGATATAAATGACGTGGCAATGATAATATTCATAGTAATGTGGCAATACGGCATGATATAAGACAACTAGACTCGTTAAATGAGTAGATTGGGTCAAAAATAGTTCGATCCAAATTGACTGATTGAACCTGTTTTGACTATTTATATATAATGCACATTTAGTGACCCATACCCAATCAAGACCAAAACCTAACCCAACCCGGAATCCATCTTTAGTAACTTTTCTTCTTAAATTGTTGCCTTTGAATGAGGGGCTACTCCATCTACCGACCCGTCAAGTTAGTGTGGGAGCTTTGGGATCGGGTTATGGATAGGGGGGGTGAAGGTGGTGATGAAAGTTTGTGTTTCGTTAGAAGTGCAGATTTTCATAGTAGTGTGAAGTTGCGAGCAAGAGGTTGAAGAAAACCTAACGATGGCGAAAGCGGATAGAACAAATAGAGAAGGTCACGAGTCATCAGATTGAAGAGGGAGAGCGAAGAGATAGGCGAAGAAGGACCGAAGTGGGTTAAGCCTGGGCTATTTCTTAAATGGGTTGAAAGTGGATTTATAACAGACCCACTAAAACCCATATGTTTTAGGCTTTTAACTTTAAAATTCATTATGACTCATACTTTAAGTTTAAGGTGACCTATTTATAATCCACACAAATAAATTTTGGATTTTAATATGGATTTGTGATTCATTTTGACAACCCTAAAGACGACCTAGCATGGGCATATAAGATGACGCGGCATAATTCATCGACATCTTTTGTTGAAGATTTAGAATTTGAGATAAACAATTGAGGAAAATTAATTAAAATGGATAATATCCCCATATATAATTTAGTTTGTTAATATAAAGTGATCTTTATAGTTTTCAAAACACCTTGTTTCGGAAGTTACAAATTTCTCCTATGTAAAAAACTCGGAAGATTGATTTCGGATGCAAGCGCAATAGAAACAGTGAGAAGCCCCAAAACCTCCAAACAAGAGGAGCAAGAAGAGAGAGAGAGACAGCTGCAAAACATGATGAGAAAAAACATGGCGGTGGAAGAGACGGTGAAATCTGCGGCGGCGGTGGCGGCGGCGGCTGCAAGCGCCGACGACCCGAGGAATCCCGCCACCGCGAACCCCAACCCTAATTCGAAGGGCGTTTCGGGTAACGGCGACCCGGAGCTGGAAGAGGGAGAGATTGTGGGCGAAGACGATTCGGCCGAGCAGTCGGCGAGAGGGGAGCCAAAAGCGGACCAGCCGCACCCGCTCGAGCACTCGTGGACTTTCTGGTTCGATAACCCTACCTTGAGATCGAAGCAGACCGCCTGGGGTGACTCCATGCGCCCGATCTATACCTTCTCTACCGTCGAGGAATTCTGGAGGTGAATTTTTGTGTTTCTTGCGTCGATTGAGTTGTGGTTAGGTTGTTTTTCTTGTTTGGCTGATTTGTTGTTGTTATTATCGTGTTAAGGCTGATGGGTTTGATGTTGTTCTAATTTTGTTCTCGCTGGATGCAAAGTTTCATGGTTTGAGAGTTCTAATCGCTCTGCCATTATGGTTTTGAGGAGTATCTGAGGAGAAGGACCGTGGCTGATTCTGTTTCGAGTTTTGAGCAATGGGTGTTGTGTCTCTGTTGAGTTGAGTTAGATTATCAGTTCAAAGAATACTGGAAGTTATGAGTTGAATTCCAGTTTTCTTATAGCTTTTGATAAAGAAATAGTAATTCTTGGGTTGATGTTGAATAGAGAAATCTTGTTCTCCAGTGGGCGACATAACAATCAAGCCTTTAGCTTTATTAAGCTGAATCGGTCATGATGGTGTTCCCAGAGTTCTTATCCCTTATATTGACCTCGAACGTAATGGTGCATTCATTATACTCATCGACCGTCAAGGATTTAGGAACTATAACTGTTTTTCGATTGTCCTTCATGCCCTGAGTTTTCAATTAGCATCATGACTGGAAACAGGGCTGCAAGGTTCGTGCACTTGCATGAGTACTATTATCCTCAGGAAATTCTGCTTCATCAAGTTTTTCAATATGTTTCATGTGGGGTCCGAACTCTGACTTTCCATGGGACATTGGCTTTTCTTCTTAAAACATTATAAGCTTTTAGCCAAACCCTTGAGGGACATTGTAGAGGCTTGACTGTGTCATTCATGATTTATTCCCTCGAGTTTTCTTTCTCCCTTCTCGCAAGTTTTTATTGGATTATTGTTGAAACTTGCAATTTCAAAGTTTGACCGAGGGAAATTATTGCCAGATTCTTTTTGAAGTTGGTAGTGTAGATTAGATAAACATAAACTCTTAAAGATGTTTTGTGGTTTATTTAATGGAAACAATTAGGCCTTTGTGTATGCCTATATTTTAGCTTCTTTGAGACTTCAACTAATCAGTGGAAGTTTATTTTACTGGCTTCGCAGAGCATATGCTCTGTCCTGTGCAAATACGTCTTCGGTGGTTGAAAATTGAAGATTGTAAAACTGAAATTGACTTCTTCATTACTTTTTCCTTGATTTTATGAATTGTAAGATCACTGTTTTTTAGTCATTGATTTTGTCCACCATAGGCCCATTCCCAGGCTTCAAGCTTCGTTGTTGATGCTTATTTCGTGAGTGATATGGGTAATTGATACTGGACATGGGTTGGATTCTGTATTATCTGTGAACAGCGAATTACTCTGCAAGGATGCTTTTTGAGTTTTGCTGGAAGTTTGAATCTGACCCATAGTTTTGATGTTGAATAGCTTCATTGCTATTTCTTTTGCTTTCAACTCTACATCGATGTTGCAAGATCCTCCTTTGATGTGGAGTTGGGCTTTGTCTAAACGCAGTTGCAATCAACGAAATTTGCACATCTCACACTTTCTAAATGTGCTTTTTTTGTTATGCTTCCACCTTTGCCTCCTTTATGCAATGGAAGCTTCATCATGTTGATTTTAATCTTATGGATCAATCTGACGGATTTATCTTCCAACCTTGCTTTTAGTCTGTACAATAACATACATCATCCAAGCAAATTAGCTGTTCAAGCAGACCTTTATTGCTTTAAAGACAAAATTGAGCCAAAATGGGAGGACCCTGTTTGTGCTAATGGAGGGAAGTGGACTGTGAGCTTCAACAGAGGGAAATCTGATACCTGTTGGCTGTACACGGTATGCTTTTCATCAGTTACTCTGTAGATAAGTATTCCAATAAGCAAGGTATGCTCTTATAAGTCCTTCTACTGTTATTTCTCGCATTAGTTGCTGGCAATGATTGGAGAACAATTTGATCATGGAGATGAAATATGTGGAGCCGTTGTCAATGTCAGAAGAGGGCAGGAGAAAATATCTCTGTGGACGAAGAATGCTGCAAATGAAGTTGCACAGGTTCTTCTACTTCACCAAATTTTGTTATGTCCTTAGCTTGTTTGTATATCGAATGATCATTTGATTTATGTTTCATGCACATTGTTTGTATTCATTAGCTTTCTGTTCCTATAGGACTAGGATATATTGGATTTAATAACAAGAATAAGGCTTCTACATAAAAATGGAGGCCAATTACTTCGAGATTAGTTATCATTGTAACTCTGAAAATTTTCCCGCCTCTGCTATGTAGATGATTTTTCTCAGGAGTTTCTTCCTAGGTGGGAATATACCGGATTAACCTTGGTTCTTGTTTTATACAAGTAGTTGTATCACTCTGATTTAACATTACTCGACTCAAGAAGTATGTTCCTTTACTGAGAAAATGAGGGATGTTGATCTCCATTTGCCTTTCTTGTTCTCATTTGGGTGTCTGAGGGAGCAATTTTTTCTTCTTTTTCTTTTTCCTTTTTTGCATATTTTGAAAAAGAGTTATGCTACACATTGCTAACTTTGCAGTTGGGCCGAAAATGTGTTCTTACTGCTCTTAAATGGCAGCTGTGTAATTTCAACTAAAATCTGGATCATCTTTTTGCATTTGAGAGTCTGAATCCATTAGGGGTTTTGTGTTTGCCACTGAAATGATTTCTCTACAAACTATGGAGGATTTTTTTGGTGCAGCAACAACAATTGATGAAAGGACAATTTCACTCGTAGTAATTATTCTGCAGGTGAGCATAGGGAAGCAATGGAAGGAGTTTCTGGATTACAATGAGAATATTGGGTTCATATTTCATGTATGTTTTGTTCAACGAACTGTTTTACTGATCTCTCTCTCTCTCTCTCTCTCTCTCTCCTCCTCCTCCTCCTCTTCTTCTAATAAGAATCTTGCGAATATTGCGAGTGAACTATGGAACCATTATCCTCATTTTATTTTCCAGGCGTTTTTTAAAGTTGGAAATAGTTTAATGGTTTTCTTTTCTGCTCTTGCAGGAGGATGCAAAGAGTAAAGGTGCTAAGAATCGCTACAACACATGAGTTTTTGCATCTTCTATTTAGCTCAAGATGGTGAAGTTTCTTCATCCATAATCATGCTCAATGTCAAGTTATGATCTCAATTATTTGGACGGCTTTGTATGTTGAACTGCAAAGTAGTTCAAGCAGTGTAAAAATAGATGAGTTTGGCATGTCAAGAAAGGTTTTTTTACAGGGGATATTTATGATGAAGATTAACTGCAAGTTGCCCTTTCAATGTGTGATTTGGTTCTCGCTTTTCTAATAGTTTCTTGAGCCAGAGATAGCTGTGTTCAAAGCACATCAGGTGACAATGTTCCTCATTCTCAAGGAATGAAAAAGAAAAGGGCTTTCTCAAAGGGATCTTTATACCATACAAGTGATTAGGCCCGTTAAATAGGTGGGTCGGGTCGAATTTGGGGCAAGTCGAAAATTATCTGATTTAAATTGATCTATTTAATCCATATTGATTTCTATAAGATACAAATTTAGTAACCCATAATCGACCTAGATACAATTTGGACTCATTCATAGCAAATTTGATCCATAAATTGTTGCATGTAAAGAATGGGTGATTCCGTGCACTGACTCGTCGAGTAGGTGAGGGAGTTCGGATGCTCAGGTTGGGTCATGAGCTAGATGTCACATGCAATGGGGAGACGTAGGTAAGTGCTGCGCTGATGGACAAGAAGTGCATGGATGGGTTTGAGGGTGGGGTTATGGACAAGGGCATGAAAGTAGTGAGGGTGGGGTTATGGACAAGGGCATGAAAGTAGTGGTGAGGCGAAGGTTAGTGGATTTTGTCCAGGTCATGACCAATGCCCTCACTGTTGTGAATCATTTCGATTCCAGGCATCGGCCGATCACGAATGTCGCAGTACAACTGTTAGCTTATATATATTACTAAAAATCATGTACTTCTTCCGTATACTCAATACAAATTTCATATGATTGGCATGGCTTGGCACAAGCCATAAATGATATTGGTTACTAAAGGTACTTCTGTCATATTTAAGAGACTGATTTTTTTTATTGTAACTTGTCATAATCATGTGTATTTTATTGTGATTCTTATACTGAGTGTTGCAACAAACAGAAAAAAAATCTGCGGCAAATCCTCACGAGTAATGATGTCTCGGCATATCATAAAAAGCCTCAGATTAATTACTTAGTTGTTGATAGGACTGAAAGGGATCTTTCTCAAATCGGTGCAGGATTTTATGCTAACAAGTATCATCATAAGAGAAAGATTATGTATAAAATCACAACATCAAGTACACGAAAACATTCTACAAAAAAAGAGTATAAAAACATATCTGACAATAGAATACTGAATGAAGAAAACATTTTAACTCTATCTTCTAGCAGGCGGTGCGTGTTCTGGACCGTGAAAATTTGGCTAGATTAGAGTTAAAATAAATCAAAGCAACCATAATTGTTAATCACGTCGATCCCACATAAATTTCACATGGTCCATAAAAATTCAATGGTGTGATTGGATCCGATCAGTCGGTTAATCTTGGCGAAATATTTTCTATATTAGGTGGTGGACGAAGATCACAGATTTGCTATCGTGGGGGAAATGGTGTACGGAAATTGGTCCAATCTACATTGTTGGTCAAAAGGGATGTCTCTAAACTTTTGAATTTGTTTTGTATCATCCCGAATTAGACAATTTCTTTTTTGCCAATAGATTAAAAGAAAAATGCCAGGCAACCCAAAAGACGAGTTGAAAAATTGGTTGAATATGGATTTGGTGGAAACCCACAAAGACCCACATTAAGTTAAATTCTTATGTTTTAAAATCATTTCAACCTGCTTTTAAGTTTTAAATTGACCCACCTACAACCCAAGCCACAAAAATAGATTTGAGGAATGGGTTTCTCACCCGTATTGCCATCTCTACAAGTGATACAACCTCTGCAAGCATTAGGTTTTAGTTCTGAGATGCTCAACTAGGGATATTTCTTACAAATAAAAGAAGAAAGAGAACCTTGCACCAGCTAGGGTCACATGGATTCACCAAGTTATGAAGTAAGTAAAACACGGCCATAACACTGGTTGTGATAGTTCTGCAAGTAAACCATTGGTAGTTTTATGATCCTTAACAAGGATATAGCTAAGTCCACTAACACTCTGAGGGGAAAGCGTGAAGCTTTGTGCACCAAGTCCCCTAGTTGGACAACAAAACTGAGTGGATGGTCTATGATCGATGATTGAACAGTTACGATCTGTCTAAGCAAAAGACTCTTCGGTTTAGCAACATGATATCAGATTGATTGCTAGGATATGACTTGGTGCTATCTGGGTTACCTGATTTTTGCCTTTAAGTGGTCTGAGAAACGATCTCTCATTGCTGTTGGTGAAATGCAAAGGAAACGAAAGTAGGGAGGAAATGTTAAAGATCGGGAGACGGGTGATCCCTGCTTCAAATAAAACTAAAGATCAGTCGAGATGGATCATAATAAGATCATCAACAAGATAACTATACTTCCACAGAACCTTTAGCTTGTCTGAAACTCTCACTATATGCCTCCTACGGCATTCATATTCGCTCTAATATCAAGAAAAGCCAGTCGCGTTCCTTGGCAAACATGGCATCTATTTTTGCAGAAAATGACTCTTGTTAGGTCAATGTCACAAGCCTACAAATAATTTCATAGAGTGCAGATATCAAAAGTGCCACTCTAGTCTCATGCTATTGCTATAAATGTACTTTTCCGATGCTAAAAGCAGCAACTTATCACATGTTCTCTTGTGATGGAGCTTCCTATCTTCTTATGAGGATAGATCATCAAGAGACATAATGGTATTATGATGAACCGCCTTGTTCCTTCTTTTCCTTGAGCTTCTCAGCAAAAACACATGCTACAACACATTAGAATGGTGTTTGAGGGATTTAGGCAATCACGGCCAAAGCCACACGAGCCCTTTGGCGCAAGATAATGGTCTTCGGCTTCAAATTGAGCATAATGTTGTGTCTCTGGCACACGATTACATGCTAAGGTGGTCTAATGTGATTGTCCGTCTCTCCTTTATCCAGTGGACAGTTGAAAGAGTTCTTTAAGCCGGCGTCAATATCAATTTATTTATGGTATTGACATACTAGAGAGCACTTACATACGACTTCTATGGGTAGTACGAGAGCATCTTGCTTACTAAACCACTACTAGATAAAAAAAAAATCGATTTTTTCTTATGCTTATGGAGTGTAGGAGTGAAAAACTTAATATTTAAGTTACACATGACCGTGACTACGGTACCTTTGAGTCTTCTGAAGGTTTTTGTCCTGATCCATCTTTTCAATCACCAAAATTTTCTACTCCTATCTTGTGAACTAATTGCACATTGATCCGTCGATTTTTCTTACTAAGAAAGGCATGGCATCCTGATCTTAGAACCGATTGAAAAACTCTCTTTAAAGTTCTTCTGCACACTGCAAAAAAAAGTTTATCCTCCATGTTAGAAAGTCCAACCCAAAAGCTTCAGCTATTAAGTGGAGGGAGACCACATGAATATAAAAAGCATTAGATAGCAGTGGCTTTGATATCATGTGAAGATTTTATGGGACCACTGCTAACTAATTTTTAAAGCTTAAGTTATTAGGTGGGGGGAGACCACATGAATATAAAAAGTATTTAGGACCCATTGCCAAGGGATGTGAGACAATACTTCAACACTTTAGTTGTAGCAAGTTTTTACTCCAACCTTCGTTTTCCAAACAAAGATAGTTTTTATCTTCACGAAAAACGAAGCTACTCTGTCACTGCTGAAGCTCTAGCCGAGCTTATTCACCATCCTGTCAGCCACTTTGAAAGAATCCCTACTAATACCTCTTAAGCTTATGCTTTTATCATGAAAAGTTCCGAGCCTGTCCGTCGTGACAAAATTTCTTTGAACATGCTGCCTCTCAAAGTCAACTTGATTTATAAAATTCTCATCATACTTCTTCGTCCCAAGTCATGCTTAACCAATGATGTCTCTCACTATAAAGCAAGAATTTTTTGAGCTATCTTGAAAGGAGTCGATTATTCTTTAGCTCATCCTGCATATGTATCGCATGGTGAAGCGAAAAACTAGTAAGTTGCTGTATGGAGCTCTCATCTCCCTTATCCTGCGAGCAAAAGGCATCATCATCAGTGATGATTACAAAGTGTACAAGGTATCAGGTGTGGAGATAGGCAAGGAAACTCTGAAGAAGATAATGTTGGGACTGAGTCCTGAAGCTAGGTAAATCAAAGGAATAAAATTATCTGAATGGGACATGGTGATGATCAAGCTGCAGTTCAAATTCTGCAAGAAGATTGAAAGAAGGTGTAGAAAGGGCAATGCGTGGTCAAGGAACAGCACCACCAGCACCGGCTAAACCACCAGCTCCTCACTCTCGTCAAAAGAAATCATCAGTTAAGGGGGAGTCTGGGTTTGGAAGCCAAAAGGATGACATCGGCGATGCTGCTCTCTACAAGGTTATTCATAATTTACAAAAACCTATCAACCAAATGGGCAAATTCCTCGTGCGCTTGGAATAGAACATCCTTAGCCTTCAATGCTATAATCTTATTTTCCCAATATTAGTACCATCAGCTGAAAGTCCTCTCTATACCAAGAAGAGAGCCTGTCGTTCTTAAGATCTCTTAGGATCCGTACCATCATCTCTCCTCATTATGTTTATTGTACTTTCCTAGTGTTATCTTTTATTTGGAATGACATATTTGCTTTATTATCTTTGCATCTATCTTTTTTATTATGATAGAAAGGGGGAGAGTTAGTATGTGAAATACATGAAACAATGAAGTGCTGATATAATCTGCTAAACTGAAACATCATTATAAGTGTATGCTACTATCACATGCTGAATTGTCAAAATTTACTGTCAGATAGTTCTATTTAATTTTATAGCAATTATCTCAAAATCTTACTATATTATTTCACATATGTAGGATAGTTTTATCATCATAAAAAAGGGGAAGATTGTTGGAAAACATCCCTATGATATTTTGATGATTATCAAACTATCTTTGAGTACTAACCTTTACCATGACAAGTGTAGATAGTAAAATTGTTTGTATATTATCAATGATCTTGGTTTACCGAGACACTAGGCTTTGACATATTGGACTTACAAGTACAAATGAGAGTAATGTCTCAAAATTACTTTATAGGATTAGTCAAGCTAGTATCCTTAGAAGTCCTTTTAGTATTGATAAGGATTGCAAGATCATTGATCTTAACCTCTCAAGTCATTCGGTTTGTATCATCACTGCAGA